AGAGAAGTGTCTCTCCTATTGCCCCTGAAACAAAATTTGAGTTTTTAAATCAGTCTCACCACATGAAGAAGTAAGCTTATGAGTTGTCCAGACACTAATCAAACACAGGCCCCAGGCTTAGTACAGGGACCAGGTCTGTGAAGAACACAGCACAGTCCCTTCTTCATCCTGAATCCATTTAACGTACTAGTGAGAAAATATTTTCTTAACATCCTGCCCCCGCCCCCAAATTAGAGGTTGATGTTTACAGCACGAACTTTAGTCACTGTGAGCAAACAGGAATGAAGAGTCTGTTGCAGAAGTGGCTCTTGAATTTTTCTTGGGGGAGATTGGTAGCCACCATGCAATAATAACAGCACCAGCAACTGCAGCACCAGCAACTGCAGCACCAAGGCATGGAGCTGATTGAATGCAATTGCAAATTTTGCCTAACTGTCAGTCGTGTGAACTACTCAAGTTTTGCTTTTTTGCGGCTCCCCTGTAACAGCAGCTATCACTCTCAAATGACTCTGAACACATTTGAGAATTAAGTTGTCTGATTATTTTTGCTAACTTCCCTGGAGAGGGATGTCTTTTGCTTTTATTTTCAATTTCCAGAAGCTGACATTGTTTTGTGCAAAGAATTCAGTAATGGGGCTGATGAACTGAGCACCAAGGGGTACCTTCTTTCAGTGGTTGCGGTCAGTTGTGGCTCTTAACTAATATATCTTCCACCAGCCTCTGTCTCTTTGCCCAACTGTTCCTTTCATGATGGAAATACTACCCAAGTAATTTGACTGGAGAAATCAAATCTGAATGGAATGCCTCATAGGCTAAGGAACTCACTCAGCAAGAGATGATGGCAGGATAAGCTCAAATTTAAATTAATTCCCAGCTTTTCCCATACCAGCGGCTGACATCTACTTTGGCTGATCTGGACAAAGCTGGCATATTAAAATAGCCATAAAGATATGTTCTTGGGCTTTCTGCATGCCAGTAGGAAGAGATTTTGGATGTAGAAGAGCAGTCCTGATATTCTTAATAGGATTGAAGAGAATATTGCTGTCTTGCAATGGGATCAAAATAGTTTTTTTTTTGTCTCCCAGTAAATGAGCATCTAATGTATTTGCTACTGATGCATCGTCTCTATGTCTTTTCCACTAGTTGATGTTGATCCTGTGTAGGTGTGTGTTTATATCGTATGGATGATGTCCACAGGTCAAATGATCAGAGTGTTTGAATCAGATTTCCGTGGGTGACAGGTATAATAGTTCATCTTTCCACACTGGGACCAAGAGAGATAGGGGAAGGTTGAGGCTACCACAAACAGGCAGACAGAAGGAAGGCCTCTCTCACTTCCCTATAAGGAGAGGGTCTTCTCTTTACCCTCATGAAGGAGAGAGCAGCGATGACACAAGAATAGTTAACAGTGTGGAGCGGTTCATACTCAGCACACATAAAAGTTCATTATCACGTTATCTGTTCTCTTCATCTGTTTTGTAAATCTGCTGGTAATATTTTATCAGGGGGAAATTTCCATGTAGATGTCCACAGTAAACATAAACGTAAAAGAAAGAGCCACTGCTGACCACGCAGGAGATTTTAAAGCATGGTCTGACAAGGCAGCAGAATATGCTTTTTCTTAAATGAACAGTCGCTTGCATCAAATGTTTGCTTTGTTATCGGAACTTCAGTGGAGTTAGTAGGACAGGTAGTTAGATAAAGCCTCAGGTTAATTCCCATCATTACCAAACCCTTTACACCACTAATATTCCAAACATATAAAAAGCTGTCAGTCTTGTTTTTAGACAGCGAAAAGAGGGGGGGGGGGAATGGCACTTCAAAGACTGTGAATAGACAAGCCAATCAATTACAGATCTGATTTAGTTCTTACACTCTACTAGAGTAACCATTCCAGGCATGCCTTCAGTGAAATAACTCTTTAAAACTGTGCTGTAATAGTAATGTAGATGGAGAGGAAGAGCTAAGGAGAAGCTGAAAGTCAGAACAAGATACCTAGCTCTGGTGTGTCAAGACAACAGAAGGGGAGATGACACAAGCTTGCTGCTGAGAGAGGGGAGGAAGCACCCTGACAGATAAGCCAGGATGGCATCGTCATATGTGATTTGTAAAGAATAAGCAGGTTCAAATCCCATGTCTGCCATACGCTGTGGCCTAGACAAAGTTAATTAACTTCTCTGAACTTCAATGTCTTTATCTGTAATACGTGTATGACGGTCCCCTTGCCCTCACGGCATTGCTATGAAGATTCGAATTTGTGCAAACAAAACAAAAAGGATCTGATGAGTGTAGCCCAGATGTCATCATCAGTCCACACACGGCAATAACTTCCAAGGTCTAGGCAATGTTTAGTATAAGAAGGCTTCCTGAGAACCTCTAAATGTCTGCAGATGAAGCAGCCATCGAATGCCTGCTGATAATACAGATTATTTTCCCTGAAGCAGGATTGCAAGCTTCTAGGGCCCCACAGAATGCGCTTGACGTTCTGGACAACTATTAACACCCCTCATAGTAGCCCTTTAAGATGGTAATTTATCTTTTAAACTGTATTCAGTGAAAGCGGCAGAAGAGAGTCAGGTGGGAATAAGAGCCCACTATTAAATACAGCCATGAGGTTTATCAGTGCTCTACATTTTGCTGCAAGGCACACTGGAATGGAGTAAATGTAACTTATCCTGAGCAGTTGCTTGAATGAGTTACTAGAGGAACGGGAAGGGTAGCGATGAAGCAAGGGAACCCAGGGGGAGTTGAAGGCTGTGACCGTTTTATTTAAGATGCACAGTAAGACTTGACTAAAGGCATAGGAGGTAGGTCTTTGGAGACTTTCTTGAGGTTTACAAATAAATGCAAGCATCTATAAAAATATCTGCTTTTGAAATAACCCTCTGAAATGATGGCCTGGGATTCCTGGGGGAGTGCCTGCAGACCTATCATATTCAAGTAATGTGAATGCAGAGAATGCCCAGTTGATGGCATTTTCTCAGTCCCCAGAAGAGACTCTTGGCCACTTTCTCTGTCTCTTCTTGCTGCTGACAGAGTATCTGTGGTATTCCTTTGTTCTGAAAGGGTACCCTTTAGTTTCACACTAGTCTCGAGTTCACCCAGCTGGGCTATCCCACAGACTTCTCTGTTTTCTGTTTAGTGTTTCCTATTCAGGGGCTCCTATCCAAATCCCTCTGGATGTAGAAGATTCCCCTTTGACCAGGAGTGAGGAATCCCCTTCCTCCCCATAATACAGAAGCTCCAGTAGAATACTCCAGAGTCTACAACGACACAGAAGGTATTCACGGGCAGCCACACGGCTCCAACGGATCCACCAATTAGCTTGTCCTGGCAAGCCTCAGTTTACTTTACAACTCAGTCTTTCAAAGACTTTTAAAAGAAACTAATTACTAGGTAAGTAATAAGTTAAATTCCTCTCTCCTCACCGTGAAGGGTTTTATGACGTACTGTTATAAATCACCCCCCCCCATCCTTCAGAGGAGCTTTCATACTGATAGGAATAATAATGCCAGGGAGAGGAAAATATTTGCCTGTGAAATTCTGCATAAAGTAACCTTACACATGCCAGAGACAGAGATAGTCTGTGCGGCAATCCGTGTGGCGACAGCTTCTTTATGCTAACAATGACAGGGCTTCCTGCCTTGTACTACTGTACTCAAAAATCAGAGTGCATTTCTCTTTTCAGTAGAACATTCAATGCCAAAAAGAAACACAGAGCTTTGACGCTGAGATATTTTATGTGGATAATAAATTTCCCCCCACAAACTCTACTAACTACAAGTATCCACCTAGACGATGGAAGCTGGGATTTATGACATTAGAATGATTGCGTATACCAGAAAACATTTTTTTCCCTTCTTTTTTGACTGTCAACTTTGCTTACTGTTTATGTTCAGTAGTTCTATCGCATACAAGGGATTAAATATCCTTGTCAGAGCCATATGTCAAGAAGCAAAATCATATTAACAAAGAGTACTTTCAAAGACAGATGACATTATTAAGATTTGGGCTGCAACTGTAATGTCCTAATTATATTTGTACTAATTCAAAGGATTTTTGAATATGTAATTTCATGACATTTTAGTGTGATTTAAAGTTAAAATGACTAAGGAATGATTAAAATATTGCCAGTCACTTCAGGGAAACACATTTGCAGTAGTACAAGCTGAGGGATTGCTTTCAAAAACAACACAGATATTGTACAATCTATTAGCTCCTTCCACACACTTTTAACCCACACTTAACCATTTGATTATTGAAATCATTGTTAAATAATGATCTCCAGAGGTGCTGTATACACATCAGGGTTTAAAGACCCTCTTTACATTAAACTTTTCTAAAATACAATTTAAATTTCAAAACAACACCTAACAGCACATCTAACGACGGTAACAGAATCCCAACTAGTTGCAATACTTGTGCATAGCCTAGTAATTTGTGAATTGCGAAGAACAAATCTATCTGACAGGGCAGTTAGCCATAGGGCCTCCAGCTTGTTGCCACTGCAGCAGAAGGAAGAGCTACTGGTTGCCTGCTGATGTTAAAAACATTTCAGCAGTTAATTCTTTTTTTCTTTTCAGGGAAAATGCCGTGAGAAGGCTCCGGTTTCAGGCACACAATACACGAACAGCCTTCTCACGGGTGAATTTTGCACTTGGCTGTAATTGGCCACGGTGCAGGAGAAGTTAAAACACCTAGAGAGGTTATTATTTTTTTAAGAGGGAAAACTTGATAGCAAATTGTATTTCTAGGCTAGAGAGTAGGCACTAATCTTCCTGCCGTTGTAAAACCGGAGCAGGCTACGTGGAAAATAAACATTCAAATACCCAGCACTTAAACAATTGTGCCTACACGGTTAAATAACAAAAGCACGAGGCACCTGGAATCACAGCATTTGTGCCCAATGCCAGAAACAATGTAAAGCATTCTAGTGACATTTGACAATGAGCAGACAGTAGAGGCATTACACGCATCTTTAGAAGAATCAGGCTTCCTACCTTGAAAAGACAGATGGAGGTAAGTTCCTTTATAAGAAAAAGTTGTAAGCAAAACCAGGCAGCAGTTGAAGTCAATTGAGTCCTTTCTGCCAGTGTGTACATACAGCAGTTCTGCAATAAGGGGAGAGATAGAATGGGAGGAGCGGCTGTGGACGAGTGACCTCCTCAGGCTGAGTCCTCTCCGGGAACCACACACTGACAACCACAGTTTCTGATTTGCATGGATTATCTCCACTTGACCAGATCCACGGCAGATACATTTAAACGGAACTGGCACAATGCTTAAAAAGATGGAAGAGGGAATGAATGAGAGAGAGAGAGAGAGAGAGAGAGAGAGAGAGAGAGAGAGAGAGAGGAGATCGCAGAGCGTGGATAAGCTGGGGCGTGCAGAATTGTGTCTCAGAAGAGCTACAGCTCCCTCTTCATGCCACAGTTGTAAGATAAGAAATGTTGTCATTACGAGCTGGTTAATCATAGTGAGAAACGGACCCAGATTAGTCCCAATGACACCTGCTCTGATTTCTGTGGACATTTTTATGAATCTTACTATTTTGCTAGTAGGATTTTAGAGGGTATACCAAAAATATTTTATTAGTACTCAAATAAACAAATTTGGATAAAGTACCAGGCTTGTATGAGATTGGTGCTTTGGTTTGGATGCAGTAGCTAGCAAGGAAAGGAGATAATTTGCTGAGATTTGTTTGAAAGATCCCTGGCAACTTTTAAAGAGTTGCTGGCATGTATTGCCATGCAAATAGAAAATGGTAATCTAATATTTATGAATAATTGATTGTCTGGAAGGACTCAAATATGCTACTGAAGAGGTAGTCATTTCTTTAAATCTTTTTTAAGTCACTGTTTCATATCGATTTTTCCTAGGCTACAGATTTGTCTTTAAATATATAGTTATTATTTGCTTCCCCATTTAGCGTCTCCAGAGATTGCCTGGTTGGCTATATATTTGTGTTCTCATTTGAAAGATGAAAAGGGGAAGAGAAGGCATGATTTTAACTTTTACTAGCAGCTGCGCGATAAGTTTGCAGAAGATCTGGAGAAAAGGGAGACATATTTGAGTGAGTTAATGTGAAGCCTGCCTTGTCTTTGCAGAGAGGTGTCTGCAGATACCTAAACAGTTGCGCAACTAGGTTGGTGCTGTGGAAAATCAGTCAAATCAGCAATTTAACCAAACTGATCACAGTCTTGCAGAAGCCAGTGTTGACCTGGTGTGAGCCAAGGGACACAGGTTGAATTTATTTTAATGCTAAACTCTCAATATAAGCCCACGTGAGGCATCTACAGAGAGACTGAGGGAGAGAGCTATCAGCAACTGCCCTGCCGTTGTACCTCTGTCTTTTGCCAGGAAAGACAAGGAATTTGAACACATGGCACTTCTTGGGAACTGACTTGGTGGACAGATGTGGTACTTTAAAAGAAATCATGAAAAAAATCTAAGATATTTCCATGAGATTGCAGAGAAGATTAGGGATTTCTGAAGGGGGAAGACTCAGTAGCTGTAAATAACAGCATTTGGGAGACAATTAGTCAGATGTAATGATTGAACACAATAGTTATTTTCTGTCTGTGACATCCTGTAGAATGTTTGCTATTGGAAGACATGGCTGCTTTCACTGGCCTCCCTCCCTCCCTCCCTCCCTCCCTCCCTCCCTCCCTCCCTCCTTCCTTCCTTCCTTCCTTCCTTTCTTCTTTCTTATATCAGTTTGAATACCACTTGTATATGAACCTGACTTGTAACATTATTGGGGTCTTAACAGTGCTTCAGCCTCAAAGTTCTTCAAGTCAGGAATTGTATAAGTTCCTAAGAGACATGTCTCTAAATAGACTGAAAGTGTCCTTTATCTAGTTTAAGTAGTTCATGAATTTTCTTTTTCAGAAAAGATATTAAAATTATCGGTCAATCTTTCATATTTTCTATACTAGTGGTTCCTGTAAAATTTGGAGTCAAAAATTATGCCTTCCATATCTTTATGAAATAAAAAGACTTAAGTAAATATAATGTAGGTGTCAGGTCATGTATAGGATGGAAAGACCTGTGGTAGTTGGGCTCAGCTGTATATTTTCATGAAACCAAAATTAGATATTTCTTCCTCATGTTAGGGGTGTTTTCCTGAAGATGTTTAGGATTTGAATTACAACTTTCCGCTCACTACTAATGACTGTGAAAATTGCCAGCATTGTTGGTTAATGTTTGTAAAACAGGAGCAACGAAAGCAAGTATTATATGGCTGGCATTGGTAATAAAGACGAGGTACCTGGCTAACATTTAACCAGCAGAATCTGTTGTTATAATTACTAGGAGTCTTTTTCCATTGAGTTAAAATGTCTGCCTCTGGGAAGAGTCAGTATGGTGTCTACTGGATGTAGGAAGAAGATGATTTCTTTGTCTGTTCTTGGCTTTTTCTATTATATGAGGGAGGCTCATTCCTGATCCCTGACAACCAGAAGGAATGGCGTCTCTACCTTTTTATAACAGACAGAAATAGAAGCACGGTTCTCAGGAGAGCCTGAGAGTGTTGTGGCAGCAGAGCCAACCTTCTGCACAGGAATAGGAAATGGCTGGTGTGGTACAAAGTGAAGGGCACCCAGAAGCTCCCTGGTCCAGAAATATCTCCCCATCTGTCCCCTCCTATTCCCTGAAATGCCACCATTAGGGGCTCATTTCTACATTTTACTGGCTTTCCATTCTCTTTCCACTGCGCACACGACTGGCAGAGTTTGCACATTAACACATTTACACTTGAGTGATACGTGAATTCACAGTAGTTTCGCTTATTCTATCAGAGACAGTTTTTCTACCAAGTAGGTGAAGATCAGAATTCCAAGAAGCCAGGCTTCAAGTCAGGTGAAGAGGAAACTCGTTTGATGTGTGTAGTCCTGTGTGGCAGTCAAGTTGCAATGTGCATAGTGTGACTGCTACATTTCCCATGTTCGGATGCTTGCATTTTTATGAGTAGGCATGTTGTATGTGCACAAGCATGAGTGTGCACGCATGTGTGTGGGTGCACAAAGATGTGTAGGTGCACTTGTGTGTGAGTACAGGTGGAAATCAGAGGACAACCTGGAGTCTCATTCCTCAGGCAACACCCACCTTGTTATTTGAGATAGGGTCTTTCATTGGCTTGGAACTTGCCAAATATGTTGTATCAATTGCCTAGCCAGTCTCTGGGGTTTGCCTGTCCTTGCTTCCCAGTGCTGGGATTAAAATGAACCCCACCCACCATGACTGGTTTCTCTCTCTCTCTCTCTCTCTCTCTCTCTCTCTCTCTCTCTCTGTGTGTGTGTGTGTGTGTGTGTGTATCATGATTAATAAAAACCCAGAGACATATATTGGGGTCCAACCTGAAGGTCAGAGAAGCAAACAACCAGTCACTAACTCTTACCTTGACCTCAGTCTGAAATGATTATCCTACCTTCAGGAATCTCAGAATGAGATTGTGTCTAAGAGCTGTCTCTTCTCATCTTAGATTCCTCTCTGGTACTGGGATTAAAGGCATGCACCAGTACCACCTGGTTTCTATGGTAAACTAGTGTGGCTACTGGGATAAAAGGTGTATGTCACCACTGCCTCGTTTGTATGCCTGACCAGCACAGTTGTTGTACTCTCTGATCTTCAGGCAAGATTTACTTAGTAAAATCAAATGAAATATCACTATGTGTGTGTGTATAATATATATATTATGTATAATGTATATATATGTATAATATATATATAATATGTATATGTATATATATAGAGAGAGAGAGAGGGGGGATGACAAGTTACTTAACGTTTATAAAATAGTGATAATAAAATGCTTTTTACTGTATGGTTAATATAGAGAATAAAGGCAACCTGACAACCATTTAATCAGTGGTTCTAATCACTAAAAATCTGCTTCCACTGAATTGAAATGCTTGCTTCTGGGAAATGTTAGTAAGGAACCCATTAGATGTAGAAAGAAGATAATTTCTTTGTCCTAGGGATGGAACTTGGGCATTTGTGCAAATGGTAAATGGGTTCCAGGACTGCAGACAGGATTCCCCCACTGACTTGCTGCATCCAAAGCCTCCAAGACAATTAATTTTCACTCATATATGAATAGGCCATAGATCACTTTGGGTTAGAAAAAAGATGGACCTGTGGATACCTACCCTCCAAAATACATGTGCACTTTACTGACTAATCTGTTGGTCAATATACAGGAGAACCTTCAGTCTGTCATCAGAGAGTATGGAGAAATGCTGGGCCCTGATCCACAAAGAGAAACAAGGATTCATTTATTCATTCATTTGCTTCTTCCTTCCTTCATCCATTCCACAAAAATGAGAACTGTTGGGTTAGACAAACCTAGGCTGCACATGTAAAGCATTATGGTGTTTACTGCCGCTTCTTGCTCCTATGTGTCCATCACATGAAGAAGTTGATTCAAACATTAAAAAGACACATGAGGGGAAAGAGCAGAGCAGAAGAAATCCAAGCGTTGCTGGGGTGAATGAGAAACTCTACAGATGGTGCTGCTGTGTGTCCTTGCAGGCACAGTAGGCACTGCCTTGAGAAGAAAGGGGAGGTGTCAGTTGTACTCCAGAATGAGAGATCACAGCTCCAGGGGCAGGGCCACAGGACAGATGATCAGGAACGGACACAAGTCACACATGCTCAGAGCATCCTGGAGCGTATTTCAGCAGATGGACAGGGATGTGACAGGAATGCTGGGGAAGAACGAAGGAACAGGACCAAGAGAAGAGACAGAAATTGAAGCATCTCTTCTCATTTGTCTCTGTATGCCTGGAGCATGTGTTAGCCAACTCCCCAGCCTAGCCAGCATGTATGTAAGTAAGTGTTTAAATGACAAGCAATGCTCTCTCCAATGAGAAACAAGAGCCAATTAGTTCTTGGATTTCAGTCCTTTTGAGCTGAAATATTTTGGAGTTGTTTGCAAAGTCTCCAGTTCCATTCTCTACCCAAAGTGCTCTATGGCCTATTCATGTATGAAATAAAATTAATTGTGTATGGAGACTTTGGGTGTAGCAAATCAGGGCGGGCAACACTGCTGGAGCCCTGGAACTCATTTAGCATTGAAAACTATAGCACTTTGAAATCCTTAGTGAGACAGATTATGAACATAAATGCCATTAGCACTAATGATGGCTAATAATTGGAAAATCTTATTTATAAAAACAGCAATGATAACGGAGTCAAACCAGCCAGCACACCTCCCAATTCCAATCCAAATGACACATCAGAATCTCCCTATTCTCTTTTATTGCCTGAATCTTAGTTATTTTG